CCAAGTGCTACACAATGGCAGTAAGATGCCTGCAAGCTCCTCCAGCTCCGGCTCCCAGCCGGCCTCCAGCCAGGAGCTGAATCTCCAGGCTCTAAACCTCCAGAGTGTCAAAAATGGGCCGAACGTGGCCGGTGGGAGCAGCGTCCCCCGTCACCTCTGCACTGCCATGTCCAAAGGCGCCGGTGGTGGCACAGCTGCAAGTGCAGGTGCCGGCGGTGTGAAAGGCAGCACAGCGGGTGCTGGGTTGAATGCTGCCAGCTCGGGCTCGGGGGGGGACAGCAGCAAGAGCAAGAAGCAAACACACCGGGCAGGAGACAGGGACTTGGCCAAAGGCGGTGCAGCCGGCACGCAGGATGGGCACGCGGCTGCGGAGAGCCGCAAGCCAGCAGCGCTCTCCGAAATGAGCACAGGTGATGAGACCAGCTCGGATTCGGACCGGGATTCGGCTTCCTTCCCGGGAGTGGGTCAGAACATGTCTGTCTCCATCCAGACCAATCAGGACTGGAAACCCACCCGCAGCCTGATCGAGCACGTCTTTGTCACCGATGTCACCGCCAACCTGATCACGGTGACAGTCAAGGAATCCCCCACCAGCGTTGGGTTTTTCAACCTACGGCAATACTGAGCCCAGGAGCATGAGAGGAGGAAGAGGGTCCTTCAGCCTCTCCCTCCACTTTGCCCAGCTCTTCCATCAGGGTTTTTCTTTCTTCGAGTGAATGCAGAGACCTGCTGGGACTCATGTCCAGAGAAGCTTGAGAGAGACGCAGTGAAACCTGCTCAGAACTGCCAGCGGGTCCATGGATCCCTCCCGGCTTTTCCCCATCCTCGTCTGGAGCAGCATCCGGAGCAGAGGCAGCTGATGCTGTTCTCCTGGAGCAGGGGCACTGGTGCTACCGGGGCTGCCAGGCTGGCAAGTTTTGAGCCAGGCTTCACTGAATGTGGGTTCCTTTGCTTTAGACCTTGAAACAGCTGCTGCCAAGGTCTGCAGCTCCCCAGCAGCAGGAGGCGGGCCAGGCTTCTACTCAGGAGAGCAAGAGGAGATCCTTTTCTTTCCTCTGGGCTCCCCACGTGTCTGCCCCTGCACCGTGGCGAGCCGCAGGTCAACCCAAACGAGGCGGCCGCTGCTCCCAGCCCTGGGGCCAGCTGCATGCGGGGGTTTTTCAGGGTACGCTCAGCCCAGCCACCCCCCTGGGCCAGGTCACTTCCAATGATGCAGTCCACGACGTTCCTGTTGTGGTTTCCAGCTGATAGGGAAATATTGTTTACATTTTTTAATAAGGAAAAATCCTGGTTTTGTCTTTGAGGGAGAGGAATAAACCCCGTCGAGGGAAGGCTGAAGCCCAGGTGCCACCGGCGGCGGGTGTCAAAGGAGCCTCTTTCAGAGCAAGGGATGCTGTTAGCAGGTACCTCTTTACTGCCTGCGGTCCTACCTTGGGAGCCAGAGAGCTGCTGATTTCTTCACAGTGACTTGATGGCAGAGGAGCTGTTTGAGGAGCTCTGCACAGGTGGGTTGGAGCAGGTGGAAGGGGAAGGAAAGGAGAAAGGGCAGGGAACAGGCAGTAGGTACCTGAGGCCGTTGTTCCCCAAGGAGGTGGAGACCCTGCAGCAGCCATTCACCTTTGTCTTGCCATCCTGTGCCAGCAGCTGGGTATTCATTTTGGCTCATGATTGCAACCAATAATGGCTTTTTATGGAGGTTTTTTTTCCCTACTGTAGATTCCTCTTACGAGCCAAAATTAGCAGCAGTAATTCAGGCAGAGTTTAGTAGCACTCAAGGTCATTTTTGTTCTGCTATGGCTGAACTCTGTTCTCAGAGGAGATAAAAAGCCTGAACAAGGTTAGGAGGTGCCTCCAGAGGGCTTCCCACCAGCATCAGGGCTCCCCACGTGCTCGGGGCATCTTGCTTTGGCACAGGCAGGGACATTCACAGGGTCATCACATACAGGAGTGCAGAGAAGAATGGACCAAACTGCAGGTACAGGTAATCCTGCCACCACACACACTGCAGTTGCATTTGCTGCTGGTGGAACTGCAATTCTCAGGTGAAATGAAAATGCCAGCACTGGCTGGATGTGCTGCCTGGATCTTCAAGAGATGGATGGTTGCATGGATGGATGGAGGAACGGTACCAAGCAGTGGCCACAGCCTTTGCTGGATCAGCCTCCAGTGCTCCACAGTCACTGTCCCTTAGCTTTTGTATTCAATCCCCAGATGTCCTGTTGGTTATGGCTTTGAAGTTGTGTTACAGTGCCAGGGATCTGTCAGGAATGTGTGCAGTCGCTGTGCCGTGCGTTGCTCTGCAAGGCAAGGGGCCAAGGGGAGAGGAGGGAGCATTGTCCATGGAGGAAGCTCCCAAGGATGGAGCTGTCCATGGAAGAGGCTCCCAAGGATGGAGTTTCCATTGAGCTCCACAATGCCAAAATGTCACAGTCTGTGCTGTCGACCTTCTAGTCTTTAACTTTGCCAAACGAGCTACCATTGCTTTGAAGAGTCCAAGGAAGCGTTAACCTGCATCAGCAGAACCAGGTGCTCCAGCATGGTCTCTGCTGGGTGGGCTTTTGTGTTCAGGATACGAGTGCTTTTGGAGAAGAATCGAGTAATCTGGGAGCACGGGGTGACGCTCTTACCCACACACCAAATGTTTGCTACTTGGCCTTTGCAAATCCAAACTGAACAATGATGTGCCTTTCGGACCGTCCTTATCTCAGCCTGGTCTGTGACACCGGTCCCACAACAGGTTTGTGCCTATGCAAAGTGAGATGATCACAGGGTCCTAGGGACAGTGGTGCCCCACTCCCAGTGAGATGCCCAGAGGTGGGGCATGCTCACCAAGAGCAATAGAACATGGGGCTGATGTCCCCAGTAGTGAAGAAGCATCTGTAGATGCTCCATGAAGGGGTCAGGCACCGAGCATCCATGGAGGAGCTGTGATAGTGGGTGCTGTGCTGGCTGCACACTGGCTCCAAGGTGCTCACCTGCATTTCCTGGTGTGGGAAATGGTGTGGTCCTGCCTTCTGCATGGGCAAAGGGTGGCTGGTCCTGGGCTTGTACCCAGGGGAACATCCCAACAGCGAGCAGCTTTCCTCTGTCACCCACCCTTCCCCAGCGTGTCCCCTCCCATAGCAGCAGGACTCTGCTGTCGCCGCTTGCTATTGTGCCTTTTACTCACCAGCAGTTCGATTCCAAAGGTCTAAGGATGGTGAACATGATAATCCAGACGGTTTTCCGACCTTCGCCTCCTCCCACGTTCTTCCCCAGCCCCTCCTGGCCTCATGTCTCAGGCTCCCGGCTTGCCCAGCGGTGCTGCTGTGTCTGAACGCTGGAGTTTGCCTCTCAAAGGCACATTATGTGAGTGATTTACTGTAACCTTTTGTGGCCAGGGGTTGAAAGCTGCTGCAGACCCTGTTCACCATTCTGACCATTAGTATTCAAGGTCTACCTTATTTTTCCTTTCCTCTCTACCCCGCCCCCCCCCCATTTTAAGTTTGCTGCTATGGGTTGGAGCGCTCAGCCATGTGTCACACAGCCAATTAAAGGTTTGTCACTTGTCATTTTCTAAGGGCTTTCCGATGTGGAAAGTCCTGCAGTATTTGTGTATTGAATGGATATTTTCTCCAGGCATAATCTGGTTAAGCAGACTTGTTGTTTTCCGTTGGACTGGAAGAGGTGGCCAATTCAGCCATCTTCCCTAGAAACTTAGTCTATTTTTATATATATATTTTGTACCAAAAAAACCCTGGAGCTTGTGGAAGGATGGAGATGGTTTAGAGGGTTCAGTTTGTGTGGAGCTCCTGGGCTGGGTGTGAAGGATCCAGAGCCAGCAAGAAGGTTTTTACGGAAAGAAATTGAGGAATGGGTGAAAACAAACAATTGTTCTTGTAACTTGTGCCAGTCACTGCTCTGATTTGTACGTTTTAATTAAAGGGAGAGCCAAATCACTCCTGTATGACACTTATAATTGCTTTAAACTACAGCTGTTTGTTTGCTTTTCTTTCCAGAGAACAAAAGTTGGAGATGTTATTACCCTGGGAAAGGGAAAGGGCTCTGTGGAGCGGGATGGGTGTGGGGCTGCTGTGGTCACTGCTCCAGGCCAAAGACCCCCAACGGGGCTGCCATTGCCTTGAGACACCCGCATCCCCCGGGGAGCCATGCTCCGCGAGGCAGACGGGAATCGGGGACACCCCCTATGCTTCCATTCCCGGGTTCCCCCTCCGCAGCCCAGCTCTTACCGGGCGGTGATGAACGCTCCGTCGGGCTCCGCTGCATCTGGAGCTGCGCCCAGCACGGGGGCGGGGGGGCACCCGGTCACCCCCCACCTGCGGGACCGGGGCCGGCCCGGTGAGGGCGCTGCGCGGCCACAGGAGGCTCCGGGTCTCGCCGTCGAGGCCAACGTCGGGGGAGAGGGGAGCCCTGGGGGAGGCGCGGGGCCGCCCCGGCACGGGGGGAGTCCGCTCCTGCGGGCGCGTCCGGGGGCTCCACCAGCCGGTGCCCCCTCCCTCCCCGCCGGGGCCCCGTGTGAGAGCCCTCCCGCGGGGCCGGGAGAAAGGCGCCATTGTCCAGCCCTTCTCCCGCTCCTCCGCGACGCTCACTTTCCGCGCCCAGCCGCTGACAGCTCCCACGGTGCCGGGTCCGCTCCTTGCGCCGCCGGAGCAGAAAAAGGAGGTTAATGAGGACACGGCTTAACCCCCACCGAGCCCGCTCCCCTCCGCGGCACATTTGAATACAAAGGCCGGGCCCGCCGCACCCGCGCCCCGTCGGAAGGGCAGAGCGGCGGCCCCGGGCCCCGGCCGCCTTTGCCCGCGGTGCAGCGGTAGCGCCGGGGCTGTGCCCAGCACCGCAAGACCCGCGGGAGTGACCCAGGCCCCCATCCCCGCCCAATCTGGTCCCGGCCCCCCCTGTGCCCCGGGGAAGGCAGGGGCCGCCCGCCCCATCGGGCCCCACCACACGACGGTCCCAAGGCCCCCCTCTCGCCCCAGGGCCACAAAGGGAAGACAAACACGTTTCTATTTACAAAGTATATATTTAAACTCACATAAAAAGCAGGTCTCATACGGACATTCACAGCTGGCAGAAGACACGTAGTTAAGCTTCACTTCAGAGACTGAGATTTAGCCAAATCGGGTTTTTATACAAGTCTTAGATTTAAATAGTTCACGCACACACGTCCCCACGCACACACACTCAGTATATACGTTGCTATATACATACACACATATACACCCACATGTACGTTTTGCCCCATATACACGTGTGTCGCGACGCACACGCACAGGCAAGATGGAGCCATGTCTTGGCCGGGCAGAAGGGCAGCTCTGGGCTCTTCTGCAAGGGGAGGAATCCTCCAGCCTCAGACATGGCAGTGGGAGGAGGGGCAGCTCAGTCCCATCACCATCCCTCCAACAAGACACGTGTCCCTTGTGAGCTGCCCCAGCACCAGCACCAAAACGAGCACATTGGTTCTTAGTACAATCAGTTTAAAATCTCAGTTTTTACAAAATATGCCTTAAAAAAGGGAACAAAACAAAACCTAAAAAAAAAAAAACAACATAGAACTCAGAGACATCCTCCCTCTGCACAGCCAATTCAGCATTCTCCCACTAGACCATCCAACAGAGATCTCACAAGAAGGCAACCAAGCAAGATGGACCCAAAAGCAAAGGACTGCTCCTCTTCCCAGCCCTTTCCTGGCCCATCAGGCTCCCTGTGCTGTCACCCCATAGAGCTCTGCACCAAGAACCTTCCGGAGCTCAGCTGGGGCAGTGATGAGGAGGGACAAGGGTGACCTGACCCAACATCAACTTGTGCTTTCCAACCCTGAGCGATGCTCGGAGCAAGGACAGGGACACCCGCTGCACCTCAACCAAAATCACAGCACGGGCCAGGGTCCTGCTCCCCATCCAGGCCAGACTGCAATCGAGCCAGGTGAGCAGGAGGGAGCGGAGCAGGGGATGCAGCCCCCTGATCCCCACATGGCCACCACTCAACCTGGCCAGGCAGGCACCCAGCGCCACAAACCCTGCCGCAGTCTGGGGAGAAAACCAGCCTGGTCTGGGAAGCCTGGAGAAAACAGAGGCAAAGGAACCAGAGCCAGGCCCGGAGTCAGCTGCGCACGCACGGGAATATTTCGCCTCTCGGCTATTGTTTAACCAGCATAAGAAAAGGGAAATATTTATTGTCTCTGAATGCATAAAGGTGGCTCTGGGATTTGTCAGAGATGTGGGTATTATAACACACTTGAACTGGAGCCTTCCAGCAGTCTGCAGTGAACTGTGTTTGGGAATAAAAACCAAGAAACATTAAAATCATCCACTTCCTATAATGGGATAAAGCATTTAAATACGGGCAGCGACATGCTACCCTCCCCAGCCCCTCCGGCATGCCAGGAATGTAAACAGAGGGGGTCTGGGGTTTCTTTTTTGAATTGGGTGGGGGAACAGAATCAAGCGACCAGACAAAATGAAAACAGATTCTCAGCTCAGTCCCATCTCCCACAACTGCTACGACAACTCTATTAAAGTGCATTTCAGTACCACCCCGCTCCGGAACCTCACACACAGGAACCTCCTCTGCCTTGGCAAGAAAAGGTGATTCAAGTTAATACTCTGCTAGAACAGTTTGAGCCTTTTTATGGATTTCTGCTTTTCCCCACCCAGACTTTTAGCAACATCCCTTTATTTTTTTCTCTCTCCATCAGCCTGGAAACGCCCCCTCCCCAACAATACTGGAAATTCAAGTGCTTACTTCAGCTGTCACGGCAACAGTTCTGGACACAGCACACACTTGATTGTACAAGCAACACCTTATATCACAATCAAGAAACCAGGGCACTCCGCCCTCGGAGGGAGCAACACGTCCCCCTGCACCATCCATAGCATCACATGAAAAAAGAAGAGCTTAAAAAAAACCAACCCAGGACATAATTCGCTATGAACATGGTTATGTACACGGGCTCCTGCGAGAGAGGCGTGAACTCCGTTAGTTCTCAGTTTTATTGTCCTTTCTAAGAGCAACTGAGCAGTCACCGTTGTCTCCATTTAAATAAAACAACTCAGAGTTGAAATATATATAGATATATATATATAAGCATTTTTTCTTAAATAACATATTTACATCTAATAGAAAATATAACTCTAGAGATAATCTTTCCAACGAAATGTAAGACGTAAAAAAACCCAAAAGAATAAAGAAGGAGTTAATGAATTTAGGACAGTTTCTAAATCCTCTCCAAGACAAAAAAAAAAAAAAAAAAAAAAAAGAAAATTAAAAAGAAAAAAAAAAAAAAAAAGGCCCACCAAGCTCTACCCAAGCTTTTGTCTGGATCTGACCAAAGAAAACCCCAGCACCACCTCCAACAAATTCATCGCTTCTCCTTAAAGAATCCTTGGTCCGTGCTGCTCTCCTTGATGGTGACGGTCAAAAAGTTAGAGGTCACATCAGTTACCACCACCTTCTCCAGATTGTTGAGCGAGGGGCTCCAGGACTCCTCCTCAGGGTCCCCCAGGATCCTGGAGACGGGGATCCTGGCGATGAGGGAGGGCCGCCCCGCCTGGCCCCCCATGCCATCACGGTACAGGCTGCCCACGGCACCCGGACTCACCGCGCTGTGCAGGAGCTTGGGCCCGCCGGGGTCCAGCCCTCCCTGCCCCTTGGGGTCCAGAAAGTCCGCGCGGTGCTTGGCCAGCCGCGGGGGGTAGCTCTCGGCGGTGCCCAGCTTGGTGCCCACCTCGGCTCGGTTGGGGCCGGGCAAGGTGCCAGGGAGGTCGGGGTCCTGCCGCCGGGCCAGCTGGATGACGCTGTGTCCCGAGCTGAACTTGGCTCCTGCTGCTGCCTCCTCCATCTTCCTGGCCTTCAGGTAGTCCCCCACCTTGTCCCCCGGATCCCCCAGTTTCCTCTTGGAAGCATCCAGAGTCTCTGCCAGGTCCTTGTAAAGCTCCTTCCTGGGCTTTGGGCCTCTCTTTTTGGGGATCTCCCCGGGTTTCTCTTCCACGCGGATCACCCGGTCCCGGATGCCGTCTCCCTTTGGGGTGCTGGTGCCGGAGCTGCCCTGCGGAGCCAAGGCTATGTTTCTCAGTCCTTCCCTAGCGCGGGACGTGGAGCCCAGCTCCTGGGGGGACCTGCCGGGATAAGGCACCCGGATCCCTCTGGAAGAATCGCTGCGGAATTCATAGGTTTTGGCTTTTGCTTTCGCCTGGGCCTGCAAAGGAGATAAATCAACGGGTGACTTTATTATCCTGCCATCCGGCTGTGTAATTACAACTTACAAGACAAGAGGCTGCCTTTGGAGAGGAGGACCCTCCACGGGGGCTGAGGGGATCCCACTCCCCATCGTGGCACGCCGCCGGCACACGCGGGGCTCCAACCTCCTTACCTTCAGCAGGAAGGTTTTGGGCTTGGGGCCTCGCTTTTTGGGCCCATAGAGCTCCATTTCTCTCTCCCTAGAGGTGTTAAAAAAAACAAAGCTTCAATTCAGCATAGCTACAAGACAGCAACATATTTACAAGCGCAAGGGCTGCAGCGAGCAAAAGGCCTTGTACCTCTCCTCGAAGGCTGCGAGCAGACGGGCGTCCAAGATGTTCTCCTCGGGCTCCCAAGTGCTGTACCTGCGCAGGCAGTGCAGGGAGAGGGGCATAAATAAATCAAATTGAAAATACGGGGTATAAATAAGGAGCCACCCCCCCCCCGCAGCCCTCGGACCCGGACTTACTTCTGCGACCAGCCCTTCCATTTGACCAGATACTCCATCCGCCCCTGCGGATGCAGACAGAGAGGTGAGGGGAACGAAACGAACCCGCACGGAGGCAAAACGGCGACGGGCGCCCGCAACAAAGCTCCCGCCCGCGGCTCCACGCGTGGGGCGGGAGGGAGGGGACGGGCGGAGCGGGGCGGGAGGCGGAGGGGAAAGGGGGAGCGCGACGGAGAGATGCGCGGCTGCTGAGAATCAGGAAGGCGCGGAGGGCGGCAGCGGGGCCGCCCGGGCATGCGGCGCGGAGAAAGAGCCGCCCCCAGCGGGCGCCCAGCCGCGAGCGGGCCGCGGCGGCGGGGCCGGGGGCCGGGGGGCTCGCGGTGCGGGGCGCGGGGGTGCCCCGCGGCGGCGGGGGGAGGCACCTACTTTGCGGATGCGGCGCTTGAGCAGGGCCTCGGCCGCGAAGACGCGCTCCCCGACGGCCGAGAGCTCCATGTTTACGCGGCCGCTCGCAGCACACAGGCAGCCGCCAGCGCAGCCCAGACCATAATACTCCGCCCGCTGACGTCAGCGCCGCGGCCGCCCGCCCCCCCGGTCCCCCCCGCACTTGTTGCTGCCGGAGCCGGGTGGAATATTCCGCCCGCACCGCATTGGCTGGCGCCGCGGCCCCGCCCCCCGACGTGAGCCGCGTCCCGATGAGCGCGGGGCGGGGCCGGCGGCGGGGGCGCGCGGGGAGGGCGGGGCGGGGCGGAGGACACGCCCCCTTCCCCCGCGCGGGAGGGACACGCCCCCCCCCCGCCGCGCCGCTCCCGAGGACCGGGGGGGGGCAACCCCGGTGTGGGGAAGAGGATCCGGGATGGGGGGGGGGGGAGTGGAGCACAAAGACACAGCCCCCACCCCCCGCGCCCCATCCCCGCCAGAGAGAGGAGGCGCTGCCGCTGCCCCCCGCAGACCCAGCGCGGGCCGGGACGCGGATGGGGCAGACCGGACCGGGACACGCGCACACCGTGGGCCGCCCCTCTGCGCCCTGCGGGGTGCGGACAAAGGGGACGGTGTCAGGGGTGGGAGCGCTCCCGCACAACCCACCCTGCCCGGGAGCGGCGGCGAGTATCCGTGCACGGCGAGAGCAGACAGCACCGGCAGAGCGGGGATCAGACGAGCCCGGTTTCTCCGCCCCTGTTCCGCTCCCCTGGAAGCCGAGGGTGCACGGGGGCCAGCGGAGAAAACAGCCCCACAAGGGATCCGGTGTCGCCCCCCTCGCCGTGTTACCCCTCAGCAAAATGAGATGGGGGAGCGGGTGCCAACGAGGGGCAGGCAGCTGGTACCGGGACCTGCCTACTCCCCCTTCCGCCTCCTCCCCTCGCCCTACCGCGTCCCGCCCGCGAGCCGTCCCTGTCTCCCACCGCGAATCCGTCCCCGAGGAGGCCACGGGAATCCGAGACACGCGTGTCAGAGCCGCAGGGAACGGGTCCAGCCTCTGGGAGAGCAGAAGCCCCAAGCGACCTTTTCCCCGCCCGAAGCCAGGCAAGATCCCGAACTGGGGGATGCTCCGGAGAGCCCCGGTCAGCCGAGGGGCACAGTTCCCGCTCCTGGGGCTGTCCCGTGCGTGGGACCCGCAGTACCAAGGCCCGGTGCAGAGCGGGCTTCAGCCACCGTCCCCACGCAGGATGGGGCCAGGTGAAGTCTCTTCTAAGCCAGTCACACACCTTCCCCGCGGACCTCCTCCGTTAAGCACCACGAAGCCGTCGCGCTCACGCGTGGGAGATCCCACGGTGAGCATGGCCCCTAGGATCCGGTTGTTCCTGTTTCCCCGTAATGAGACCGTGGCTCCCCCAGCCCGGGGCTCTGCTTTGGAGGAGTTTTGCCGCGGGGGGGGACGCCGAGTCACTCGTGGCTGTGGGACCACATACTCTGTCAGCCTGCCTAGTGCAGGGGCTGCGGAGCATTTGCCTTCCGCCGGCCTGAGACCCCACCGGGAGAAAACACCGGCACCGGGGTACACCGGGACCGGCAGCGGGGACCGGCAGGCACCGGCGTTGTCCCCATCCCGAGGATCATTGTGTCCTGGAGCTCCTGCCCGGTCCCGCCACACCAGCAGCCGTGGACCTCCAATGGAGTCACGGAAACTGCGGTTCCCTTGCGTTGGGGGGGACCCGGGTGGGAGCCTCCACGGGGTACTCGCGGGGCTCAGAGCCTGCCCTCCCGCCGCCGCTGGCGGAGCTGAAGCCGCATCCACCGGAGGAGGGTGTCCATCCCCCACCGCGTTTCGCCCGGCGCGGCGCTGGTGCGGGGGGGGTGCTTCCTGCCGAGCGACGTCCCGGGGAGATTTTCGTTAATATCGAATTAATCGTTATTAATTAAGGTCGGTCGGGGAGCGTCTGGTGAATGGGCGGAGACGCGGCGGCCGAGTCCCGATACCGGGATGATGCCACGCAGAAAAGCGATATGGTGGCAACGGCAGGGAGGCCCTGCCCGAGGGGTGCGGATAGTCTTCCTGTGCCGAACGGTGCCCGTGCCGCAGCCTTGTCCTCTGCTCGGGGATCCCGAGGCGGCAGCGCCCATCCCCGCGGCCGTGGGGTGCCGCAGCCCGTGGAAACGGGTGCTTGCCCGCCACCTTCGTTGCCGGTGTCCCGGTGCCGGTGAGAAGCACAGTCCCGGAGCCGATGGTCCCCACACTGAAGCCGTGACCGAGCATCGGAACTCCCGACTGAGCAGCCGCCCGTCATCCACGCGTGGGGAGGCAGAGCGGAGCGGGCCCGTTTCTCGCCGCCGCCAGTGCGTGCACCAGCCGCGGGAACAGCTCCGTCCCCAGCCGTGACCGGTGCGGGATGCACGCGTGGTCCGTGCTTGGCCCCCGGTTTCTTGGGGGGGGGGGGGGGGAATGTCGCAAACGAGAACGGCGCTGGGGAAGCAGCGAGGAGAGGCCGCCGGTGGGTAGGGGTCCGGAGGGAGCCCACGGGCCGTAGGCCAGCCAGGGCCGGGGCTGCGGCCACTCATGGGAGCCTTGGCCCGGAAGGAGAAGCGGGACGGGGCAGACCCGGCGCAGGGGGACGAGACAGAGGCGGAGGGACGGCTCCGGCTCCCCAGGGCAGTTCTCGCCGCTGCCGGCGGGGACTCAGGGATCTCCTTCGCCGGGGATCGGAGGCGCTGCAGGGACCCCCGCCCGCCCTCATGGGTCACCGGGCGCAGGAGCGGAGCCCGGACACCGGCCGCCCTCCGCGCTGCCGGGGTCAACGGCAGAAGCTGCCCGGGAGCCCCGACGGGCCTCAGCGGGGGAGGCCGTAGCCTCTGCACCCCTCCCACGCCGCCGGCCCCGACCCTGCCCCGGGAGACCCGGGGCTCGGCGGGGACTCGGAGACGGCTCCGGCCCGGCGAGGGCGTGTGCGGCCGCGGACAACCCCGTGTTCCGTCCATCTGACCCCAAATCCGCTCCTCTGTTGCCGGGTCTCCGCTACCCCTGCCCGTACTCGTGCGATGAGCCTCTCGGCTCTCAGCGAGTCCCCGCGGGTCACAGCGTCCGGCTCCCCCCACGTTTCTTGTTGCGCGGGGGCTGCCACGGCTGCGGGATTTGCAACGAAACCGGGGGCTGCTGCACCCCCCCGGGACCGCGCGTGGGGCAGCGGGGGGAGCACGCGTGTCCGAGCGCGGCGGGGAGGCGGGGGAGAGCCGGATCCGACCCAAACATCGTCGCGATCGATCCCTGCGGCTTCTGTCCGCTTCGGTGACCGTGCTTTGGAAGCCGCTCCGCCCCACGGACACCCGAGCCCTGGACTGCCAGCAACCAGCCCAGCTCTCTGGCCGGCCCGGTTCCCTGAGCGGCAGAGGATGCCGGGGTCTGTCGCAGGCACGTTCACGCCACGGTCGCGCTCCCTCGTGTCCTTTTCTCCTGGCAAACCGAAGATGGCCCCAGCGCTGCGGCCGCGGGGAAAGCGGGGACCGAGAGAGTCAAAGTCAGCCCCCCGCCTGCCAGGTCCCGTACTGACCCCGCAGCCCGGCAGGAATTCGCGTTCCGGGAGAGGCACCCTGCAGGGCAGTGGGTACCGCCGGACAGGGCAAAATAAGGCCCGGAGCCTCATTCCATGAGAGCTCCCTGCGTGTGTGGACACCCACCCGCACCCTGGGGGCGGCAGGTCCCCGGCTCCCGATCCTCCCCGCTGCCCGGTTCTGCTCTGGGCTTCTCCCAGGTCCGGTCCCGTCCCTGAGCCAGCTGGGGAAACGATTCTCTCCACCTGCGGCTGAACGGAGCAGGGACGAGCCCCGGGGCAAATCCACGCTGCCCCGGGCCGGTGCCGGGCTGTCCCAGTGGGGCGGGAGAGGACTCGGGGACCCCGCGCCCCACCGGCCCCCGCCCTCACCGGGTCTGGGTCACCCCGGCCTCCCGCCCGTTGCCTTTTCGTTTCCGAGCCACTTGGGGAGAAGCAGGGAGGCAGCGACAGACCCCGGGCTGAGGCACCCACCCCCAAAGCCGGAGCAGGAGAGGAGACGCGGCCATACAGGGGGCTGCGGTCAGGCGTGGGCTCGCTGCTGGTGGGACCGGGCCACCGGACTCTTTCCCGCCTCGCCTGTAGCTCCGCATCCCCCGGTGCTACCGATTCTGCTGCCAGCGGGTCCTGGGGGTGCCCGGTCCGCAGAGATGAGGTCTCCGGGAGTGCCCGTGCAGCGCTGCCCCTCGGGGCCGCTCCTTCTCGCTCCCACACACAGAAATTCCCGTGCGAGGAAGTTTCCGTATCCACTTGTCTGACATAGAATAGTTAGGGTTGGAAAGGACCTTAAGATCATCTAGTTCCAACCCGTCTGCCATGGGCAGAGACCTCACACTAAAATTGACATCGAATTGAGGGTGCTGCTCTCTCTCCTCCTGGGCTAGCAATGGAGCCCCCGAGACGGTGGGAAGGGCTCCGCAGAGCCTCCGATTTGGGGGATACCCACTACAGGCTGTGCTAGCTGGAGCACGTCGAGCACCGCGAAGCTCTGGGTGCCGGGCAGAGCCGCTGCTCTCCGCCCCATCGGCCGTTATTCACCGGTTATCGTGGCCTTTGCCAGACGGTGCAGGAACCACACCCGTGAGCAGCCCCGGGACAGAGCGGGGCAATCGCCCTCACTGGCAGCCGGTGCTGGAGGACAGCGGCGACCCCGCCAACAGAGGCGGCAGAGCCTCGTCCGGCGCCTTCGGTTCAGTCCGGCCCGGCTCGGCCCCGGGGGACGGGCTCGGAGAGCGGTGGGCACGACCCGGGCTCGTCCCCAGGGTGTCGCACGGACACGCGACACTTCCCGCCGCCCCGATTAATTCCAGGTGCTTTCCATAGGTGGCACCGTCCTCCTGGAAATGGCGGCAGCGGCGCAGCCGGTGGCGATCCCGCCACCCCGAGGGGCACCGCAGCTCCGCCGACACCGAACCCCCAGCTCCGCCGGCTGCGGCGGGGCCGAGCGCCCGCGGGCTCAAGCGAGGCTGAAAGCGGAGCCCCCCACCGGGGAACTCGGCGGGGCCATCCACGGGGAGCCGCGAGGGCAGCGCGCCCGCAAGCCGTGGTCCCGGCTTGCTGACACGCACCGGGAGCACCGGGGCCGTCCCCCGCA